GCTTCACTTCATCTTTCTTCGGCTTCACGGTGAATATGTCGCTGGTCCACTCATGCCCCCTTCTGACCACAGTCAGTTTCTATTTTACAAATAGACAGGAAAAAATGTTTTCACTGCTTCACCTTTTTCATTGTATAATGTAAAAAAGTATATATACGCACATATATATATACTATATATACTATATATGTATAGCTGTTGTCGGAAGGAAACCTGATATCTCCAAAATGGCAACTTTACAGAAGAAGGAAAAAACCTAATTTACTTTTAATATAAAATCAGTGGAACCAGACTTTTTTCCAAGTAATTTTGGGCCATTTCCTTTGGTCCATTTATCATGAAATATATACATGAAATCTATACACACACACACATACACACATACATATATATATATATATATATACATAGCAAACAACAGTTTTAAATAAGACTCATAAATGGTAGCAAACATTATAAAAACACTTTATTGACAGTGGTAAATGGACCAACAGTCACTGTTATAGTCGATAGTCTATCATAAAGGCAACACTTTTAGTTTGAAAAACATTACATTCTTACATGGTTAACAGTGAATAAACAACAATTCATTGTTAAGTGGCTAACAATGGAAAACAATACACTTTGATATGATTAGCAATGAACAAAATGACCATTTTGGATCTGTTTGATGTAACATCATCTCTCTTACATTCCCTTTAGCTCCCCCCACCACACACACACGAAGTGCGACATGAAGAAATATCAAACGCAGTTCCTTTATCGAAGCTTTATGAGCTGGTCAGATAAACAATGAGGAATTTCTGTTTTTATGAAAGACTTGGATAGACAATAGATAGAAATACTCCATTAAAAAGAAGAGATTCTTTTCTTAATAAAAAGAAGAGAAATCCTTGATTTCAAGATGCTGACAATGCTAACATCAAAATGTACATACAATACTCATGTTTTTGTGGTATTGATAATATAGAAAATCTGTTTTGTATCATTGCTAATATAGAAAATCTGTTTTTGTATCATTACTAATTTAGGAACTCTTTTTGTACAATTGCTAATATATATTGCTAAATGTTTTTGCATCACTGCTACGATGTTTTTGAACTGTTTTTGTAGCATTGTTGAACTGTTTTTGTAGCATTGTTAATGTTGAAAATCTGTTTTATATAGCATTGCTAATATAGGCACTGTTTTGGTGGCATTGCTAATACTGAAAATCAGTTTTTTTGTAGCATTGCTAATATAGGAACCAGTTTTTGTAGCACTGCTAACATAAAAAAATCTGTTTTTGCGGCATTGCTAATATAGAAAATCTGTTTTTGTGGTACTGCTAATATTAAAAATCTGTTTTTATAGCATTGCTAATATAGAAAAACTATTTTGTGGCACTGCTAATATAGAAAATCTGTTTTGTGGCACTGCTAATATAGAAAATCTGTTTTTGTGGCATTGCTAATATCAAAAAACCGTGTTGTGTAGCATTGCTATTATTCTAGAACCGCACCATAACAGCCAGTCGCATTCATTCCTTAAACATCCTCTTTCAGCCACGCTCACTCTAGTAGGGCTTCATCTATGAGCAACATGAACGCGTCTATTTGAAGCGTGGATTTCTTTTGTCATTACTTCAGCTAGACTGCTGCTTAAGCAATACAGAACCATTCCCTCACGGACCATTACAGCACTTACTATTCCTTCAAGACCCCCTAATCTCTTTTGGCAACCTAAATCACCATTTAGCCTTAACCCCACCAGAAACCTGCAGCATGTTAGAGAAGGTTCTCCTAGAGTATATTACAGTACAAACAGCTTTAATGTGCCTAATTATACCTAAATAACCTCTAATAAAAGCACATTAGTGACTAATGCAATTCCTTCAGGTTGAACTATTTTGTTTGATGGACCTTCACGCTATTAAGGCACGACTTGTGTGGTTTGGACCCTCTGCAGAAGCTTCAGCAAAGCCGTAAACATGGCTGGCACTAATATCCATCAAATGATGGGGTTTCTTATTTGAGGACAACTGCACAATATATTGTTTGTCAATTATTATTGAAACAGTGGCCTTTGCAGTACTGATAGCTAAGACTGTAACTTGCAAATGAGCCCTCACTCCAATCATAATGTCTTTTTTATTGTGAGCTGTAAAAGTCTTGACCGATCACAGTTTCTGTGGGCGTTCTGATCAATCGAGGCATAATTATCATAATAGTAGCAATATATCACTGCTGTCGGAACAAAACCTTGTATCTCCATTTTTGTCGTTTTTCAGTTCTTGACATAGTTTGAAAATGCCTATTGCCCTTTACATTGTGTGTGAATTTCATGATGAATGGACCAAAAGAAACGGCTCAAAATGACTTGGAAAAAAAGTGTGGTTCCAAAGACTTACATTAAAAGCAAAGTATGTTTCTTGCTTCTCCTGTAAAATTACCAATCTGGAGATACTAAGTTTTGTCCTGACAGCAGCGATGCAGTACTGTGCAATAGAGATGGCCCTAATTTATTAAATTTTCAGTCAAAATTGCCAAGTTATTAATTTTCAGATATTTCTGAGCAGATTAAATAATAATCCACTTACATTTAGCCAAGTAATGGCAAAGTCAAACAAAAGTAAGAGGGAAAAAATGTAGTTAAAAATGTGTTTAAAAGAGAAAATGAGACTCCTAACAACCACTTGGAAGACCTGGTAGCCCACCGAAACTGGCTCATCAGATAAACAGTACTTTCATCTTTAAGATGGAGATTTCTTGCTTCAGATTGGAAAACATCCCGTTTGTGTCCAGTCTTCCACTGAGGTGTGGAAAAATATTCCTGCAGATTTTTTTGAAAAACTGAAAGAGAGTCCTGAAAAGAATGGAAAGTTAAGAGTAGACAAAGTAAATACTGAAAAATTATACTATATGTATTTCTTAAGGAGTCATTTTCTATAAATACATACTTTCTGAAAAAAACTTGACTGGAAATTGAATAAATGAAGGGTGGCCTCTGATTTTTGGACAGTTCTGTATGATGCAGTACAACTTCCTTCTTATCATGCAGTCTGTGCACTCACTGCTATCAAAGTAACTGCAGAATATAGTGAACAGTTAAGTACAAAAGCAAAGCACCTATCTGAGAGGAATAGATGCTGAAGCCTGGATCGCTTATAACAGCAGAAATCCAGTGAAACGGTAAATAAAGTGCGTGTTGTGTGCAATAAATCAGTAGGTTACGACAATAACCTTGGATGTCTTCGTAGTTGAAAGAATGCAAGAAACGTTCCTTTCATTGCGAGCCGTGTCAAAGTGGCAAAGAGAGAGAAAAAATCGCCACAAAAATAACAACATTGTAGTGACTCGACCTGCTCCTCAGACATGCTCACGTATTGATGCGTGTATAAAATATGTGCCTACACAGCACAGAGAAATCAAGGACACTTCAGGTTTTCTCAGAAAATACACAACGACAAGAAGATTTTGCATTTGCAGGCAAGCTGGAGTCTGATGATCTCGTCATGTGTTATTGTTTTCTTCCAAAAATGAATTTCGTAGCACACAAACAAAGCTAAAAACTAAAGTGGAAATATTTGTGTACTTACGAAATAGCTCTTAATTAGCGTTACGATGCCTAAAGATGTATTCAAGGATATCAGCAGATGAAAAACGTTGGTCCAGTCAATCCGAATGAGGCTCTGTTTTGATGTGAATCTGCATAGATTTATATACACTGCTATGTAACCAGTTATAAAGCATATGCATTAACTGGTATTAATACTGTTTATCAGTATTACCCATTAGTGCTGTCAGTACTGATTATCTCATAATGCTAATATTGTTTTCTCTGTTCCTGTTTATTAAATATACACAAGTATATGTCAGCTTAAAGACATACGGTAACAATCGACTGCTAATATTCATTGAGAAATTTTAGTGCTGTATGAATGAAATCCCTGACCAAAGCTACGCTAACTTTTTTCCAGTTTGTTATGAAGAGCACTTTCATAGAGTAGTGAAATACAGTCTTTATATTCTGTATATAAAAATCCCTAAAAGGCACTTATGTTAAAATGCTACTTAACATTCAGTAATATTCGCTTCATTCAACCCTGGACCTTTCTTAAGTCGTAAAAGAAGAATATTAGACTGTTTTCGTTTAGTACCACAGAACAAAGAACTACAGAAAGGTCTTAAAACCATCAGGGTTTTCAGCTGAAAGAGCACAAAAATAAATCGCCGCTGTCGTAACAAAACTTCATACCCCTTAAACGGAAACGGAGAAGGAAATAAGTTCTTAAAGGAGAATTGCATTGATCTGTTTTCCATCAAACTTCCTGCAGAATGAAATGCTGCAAATTTTAGTGCTGAGATGTGAAATGCTGCGTTCTGGTGGTGACAGAAACCAGACGTCTAAAGAGTTTAATGCCTTTAAAGTCTGCATCGCAGAAAGTTTTTACATGAAATGGTTATGAATACGCTGCCTGACACTGTTTCATGATAGGTTTGAGAGGTTGTTTGAAGATGTTGAGATGTTCTGGCCTAAAATATGTATTTTTCAAAAACATTCATGGTGGAGAGATACATGTAGGGTGTACAAAGAAAAATGGTCCCCAGAGCAAATGTATTTTTTAGATTTACCGCTATTTTACTGCCATTTTACTGGTATTAACATCATACAAACTCAGGACACATACAGTCGTAGGCAAAATTACAGGGACTATTGATTTTTTTTAAAGTGGAAATAAGTTCACATCCTTTACAGAGAACACACTTAAAAAAATGACTTTTTTCTGCTAATTTTAATGCTCAGTTTCTGTTTATTGGTAAAAAAAAAAAATAAAACCTGAAGTGTAAAATGCTCCTACACCTTTACGTTTTATTTTTTCCCCCCAATATGTTAAATTCCACAAATAAACAGTAAATGTGTATTAAAATGAGCAGAAGTGTGTTGTCTGTAGAGGCTGTATTAACTTATTCTTCCTTAAAAAAATCAACAACAAGCATCATTTGTATGGGGCACCCAAACTTTTGCACACTACTGTAGGCTGACTTGTAGTAAATAAAATAGCTATAGACATCCCGACCTCTGGTTCCTATCACCACCATCACAAAAAAACACACATGAAACATTTTTGAATGACCTCATTCTCATCTCGACAACTGAACTACACAGTCGCTGTGAAAAATCAGTGGAATTCCCCCTCAACTTTAACAGGCGTTAATGTAACGAGATTTTATTCCAAGTACGTTTGAACCATTTCTGTTGGTCCAATCATCATGAAATGGAGTTACGAGGTTTTGTTACGACAGCGACGAAATGCAAAAACGTTACATACAGTATGCATACGGTTTAGGTAAAAACATTACATACAGTATGCATACGGTTTAGGTAAAAAAAAAAAGAAAAAAGAAGTGACAGATATCCAGATACTCATCTCTGAGTGAAGTAGACTGGATGGTAAGTGCTAAGTTGTTTGCAAATGGTTCACTGAACCATATTTAAACTCTGAAAGTGAGCTGACAGATTGTGCGATGATTCAGGCACCTCCACGCTGCATCCTCACTCGTCCTTGTTCGTGGCTGGGGGCTGAAGGGTGAAGCCTGAAGTGCTGAGGTTGGGCGTGCGCAGCAGACAAGCGCTGAAGAGGCCAATGACACCCAGGTTGAGCAGGAAGGCCAAGGCCAGAGCCCCCAGAGTGCCCAGGAAGGAGGGCCCAGCCGAGTGGGCCATCAGCCAGCTCTGGCGCGAGCTCATATCGGCCAGCACCGCCTCCATCTGGAAGTGGGTGCCCACTACTGCGCAGATGTGGAACAGCTGGTGGCTGTGGCCTGGCAGAGGTTTAGCAGAGAACAGTCAGGGAAATCGTGCAAACGTATGCATGGAAAGTCTCAACAACGCAGTCAAAGGAGCTCTCAATTAGACCCCATTTAATGTTTAATGTGTCTAAATAAATTACACGTCATTGTTTTGCTTCATATTTAATGACTTTTCTTAATTAAATGGGGAAAACTGAGAAACATAAAATAAACACATTTTGTACACATCAGTGTGCAGTTTGACCCCAGACTGTTTAAGCCATATAAAACATAAGAAATATTAACATTTTAGACACATTTGTTTGGGTATAGTGATACTGAGGTCACTATAACATGCTATTTTATAATATTCAAAAAAATCCCTCTGTTTTAGAGCCTTAACTTAATATTACCACACCTGTACTAGTGCGAGAACCACTAATAGTTCAGGGAGGGGAAAACAGTCCTCATGAGAATTTTCTGGGGTCAAATTGAGCCCAAGGATAAAAGATATTAGTAAATTTGAGGATAACAAGAGGGTTAAAAGAATAGTTTGGCTTAGTTTTAAACCAGAGCCACAAGGCTAGTGTAATGATGGGTTCTTTGAGTGTTCATGGTTCTATATAGAACCATTTTCTTTACTTGACAGCATAACAATAGAAGAACCCTTTTGGGTGCTATATAAAACCATTTTCAAAAAGGTTCTATGTAGAACCATCTAGAGCATGTTCTGAGGAACCCTTTCATGATGAAAAAACCCTTTAATTATGCAGAAGATTCTTTGAGTGTTCAAGGTTCTAAATAGAACCATTTACTTTAATAAAGAACCCTTCAACAAGCATCTCTTTTCAGAGTGAATGCAGGTTGAGTTGATTGTTATGTCTGTTACCTAGCAACTGATGAGACGTTCAGACATAAACACATAACTAATTAATAATTAATCAAAATAACGTAAACAAAAATGGAGGTTTAGTATAGACAGCTGAGTGTGATGAAGAATATCGTGACTGCGCCCCCTGCTGTTTAATATGGGCATCGCCCCCGTTTCAGTTTTCTGTTAGAGCCTTCATCGCACACCACATAATTAAATTGATCTTCTCATTTTTCACTGTCATCGCTGCAATATTTTACTGAGCAAGTTTTCATCTACATAATGAGAGGGAATAGATAATCTAGATAATGAGAGGGAATTAGATAGAAGGGTTTGTGTGGGGATTTTTTTGAACTACAGAGTTTCAATCTCACTCATAACTGAAACCAGCATTTTATTGTGTGACTGAGTGTAACATCAGTATTAATTTAGCAATAGAACACTTGAGGTCGTGTGTTATCGCGAAATAACATCGAGGCCATAGATCATCACAGCCGTGATGTTATTCGCGATAACACACGACCTCGAGTGTTCTATTGCTTTTATACAACAGTTAAATACATAAAGTAAGAAATTAATAATTTGGGCCTGAACGTGTCATTTAATATGTTTTAATGTCAGCAATTCCTTCCGCCAAATTATAGTTCCTTAACAAGCAGCTTGTTGCTACGTCAGAGTAACGAACTCCGCTCACTCGCTGCACGTGTTTGTTTAAAACCCGTGATGTTATGGTGAAATATCAGCTCAATTAGAACGTTTCTCAACCAATCAGCTTGCATGGCCGGAACTAACTGTTGTATAATGCAGTATTAATTAGTGAACTTGCTATGTCTGTCACAGTTGCCGAAAACAATGACGTTCTCGTTAGAAAGGATAATAGTAGAAGTGGACAGTTAAAACAGTAGTGAAGACGCTGTTAGGGTTATCCTAAGGTTAGGACAGCATCTAGGGAATGTCGTATCTTGAACTGCCCTGTGGTGGAGTATAAAGCTCAGATATTTCAAGGTTTTTAACTATAGGAACGTATGAAGTTAGAGAAAAAGTGTAATTCACTATTACAGTTTTTAGACTTTCATGACAATTTGAAAATTCTGACTCATTCTTGTTACACACAGCAGAATGTTAACTGTATAAGCCTCTTATTCCCACTGCAAAACTGAAAAAGCCAACATGTCTCAGCTGATCACCCAAATTTGTGGCAAAGAGTAGGACTGGTTTTGCAGAACTACTCCTTTATTATATTTTAAGATAAACTGCCAATTAATCTACTCTTCTCCATTAATTATGTGATTTATTTGACATGGTATGATCTAACAAAGTAAAAAAATAGATGTTTATTATTTAGTTTGTGTCCCAAACTACCTTTCAAAACAAGCAAAACCATGAACAGATATTGTCTATATAGTCTAACCTCAGTCACGGTTTATAGCTACTCTGATTAAACATATCAATTATAAGCGTATCCATATCGCCGTGGATTGCTCAATGTGTGCGCATTCTCACTCAGAAACTACCACAGTGTGTTTAACAATAAAGGCAGCATTCGGCTTCTTTTACACAGTGATAGAAAACAACGCAGTGGAACACAGAAAGCTCCACTTCCACAGCCTGATCTATTTTACTATGACCATTTTTATGTGACTGGACTCCTCTGGGGGCAGATTTCAATGAGTTAGGCTGCATTCAAACAGTAGATGGAGTGTGTTCACTCTATATGGCAACATATGCTAAGACAGGATGCGGATTCCACAGGCCAGACTTGTTCTGAGGCTGACTGCATTTTTTAGCTGTACTTAGCGTTTTTATTTAACCACAGATTTTTATGTTACAAGGTGAAAAATGCTTGACTTAGGTGTCAATTTTAAAAGGAAAGCCAGTCCATAAAGAGAGCTCCGTCTAAATCCTCCTAAAAGAAGCACAATAAGTGCTTGTTTCTATCCATTTAGTGTGATGTGGTGTTAAACGTCCTGCCAGCATTGCCAGACTGGGCTGATTCCCATCAAATTGGGTGGATTTCTGTTGGATTTGGCTAGAGGAAAAATGCTTTTGCAAATCAAAGTAATGAACTACATAACTTAATGACGCAGCTTGTTAACTGTGGAGGCTGCCGATGAAATTTGAATAGGCCATAACTTCTCCCTACAGCCAATCCATTATAAAAACTTGACTGACATTCATTTTAGTCACTCTGTCACTCGGTTAAATGCTGTATTATTGCGTTTTATGGTAAAAATGATCTTAGACTGTTTTTGGGTGCATTTTGATGTTTTTTGGCTGGAAACTATAGAAAAGTTCAAGTCTCTTAATGTATTGCCAGCTAAACGTTCAGTTTGATAGGGTTAAAAACCGTAATGACTTATAAAGACGGGTAACAAAAAAGCTAAAATGTATCCAAGCTCTTTACCAATGTAGTCAAAGCGTCCAGGAGCCAGTCTTTCGGGGAGGTGAGAAGCGAACAGGAAACCCGTCAGGAAGGCAAAAAGCAGGTGGTAACAGTGACTGCTCACAGCTTCAGTGTGATTACAACTCCCGCTGAAACACAGCAGCAGCTACACACAGAAAGAGAATTAAGCTAATGACTGGCCAAGTGTACATTATATTGCAGACTCTAGGCTTATTCTTTGTTCATACAGCCATTATAGAGCAGCTGCAACATCTTTGCATAGTCATCTGAGTGACTGTTACTTACTCTGTAGAAAAGGGGGATGTTATCAAAGATAAATGGTACAACGAAGGCGCTTGTCCGCAGGATTTTACTCCTGTGTGGAAATTGCAGTTCTAGAAATCTACAAAAAAGGAGAAGAAAATGTTTAGTGTCATGCAAGACCGGCATTCCCCTGCAGACCAGGCAGCTGACACGCCACAGCACACAAGACAGAAAAGAACCACGTGAAAAGACTCATATTACTCATGTTACATACTGTAATTAATGTCCTGAATGGGCCATCATGACATTTTACCTGACGATTATATATGTGCAATCAACAATATGATTTTTTGGTCATTGTGTGTCGACTGTTAAAGTAAAAAAGTGCCAAAAAGTGGCCAAATTAGTTATTGGCTATCTCAAATAGCTCAAATAAACATTAAATATTACTCACAGCTGCTCTCTAAACAAGTTAAAGCAGCAGGAAGAAGAACTTTTGTTGTTTTCATGATGTCTCAGTAAATGTGTTTTCTGATTTCTTTCATTTAATGTAATTGTGCAATTGCCTCGACCCAACGCCCAACACCAATTCACATTCTATTTCTTGCTAAGTAAACTAGGGATCAGAGGTGGAAACAAGTAAGTCTCGAGTCTTGATTCGAGTTCCGAGTCAGTGATGGCAAGTCTCAAGTTGAGTCCCAAGTCAGTAGTCCTAATCTTTGAGTCCTGAACAAGTCAGTCTGCATTCTTGAGCTAATATAAGGCCATAACACTGAGTAATGGTAATAGTACTAGCCTTTTAATGACAGCTTATTAGTAGTGAATTTTTTATAATTATTATCTTACCTTTCCAACTAAAATGCAAAATCCATGGTGTGGCATGCGCCCCCCCCCCGGGCCCCGACGATGACGGCTGTGAGAGCCGGCAGGAAGGCGGGGCCCGAACACCCAGCGGCGACAAACCTTGGCCAGGACGGCGGGGAGAGACTGCGAGCTCCGAGCGCTCTCGGAGCAAGAAGGGGAGGGGGGAGAAGGGCTCCAGTCCTCCTGGGAGCTGGGACTGGAGGCTCGAGGGGTGGTGAGAGGGGGGCTCCTGCCCCCACGCACACCAAGGGCTGCCGCTCCGCCAGCAGGCTCCTGACCATCTGACGGGTCCCCACTCGCGGCTCTCTCCCCGCCGTCCTGGCCGAGGTTTGTCACCGCTGGGTGTTTGGGCCCCGCCTTCCTGCCGGCTCTCGCGGCCGTCATCGTCGGGGCCCGGGGGGCGGGCGCATGCCACATCATGGTACACAGATAACCATGGCATACTATATACACAGAGCACTGCACTACATATGAAAAGAATGTGAAAAAGTACCGAGTCATAACGCTGAAGTCTGAGTCATTAGTGTTGAAGTCAAAGTCGAGTCGCAAGCATTTCTCGATTTTCTTGAGTCGAGTCACAAGTCATCAAATTCATGACTCGAGTCAGACTCAAATCCACCCCCTGGTAGGGATGCACTTGTTTGGTAATTCTCGGAGGATTTACACATTAACAAAACATAGGCCACTGTAAAATTTATTTGTAGTGGTTGATTTACATTAAGTGGCCAAAAGTATGTGGACACCTGAGCATCACACCTATTTCAGCTTGCTGGACATCCCAATTCAAAATCATGAGCATTAATATAGAGTTGCCTCCTTTTGCAGCTATAACAACCTCCACTCTTCTGGGAAGGTTTTCCACAAGATTTTGGAGTTTGTCTGGGGGAATTTGTGCCCATTCAGTCAAAAGAGCATTTGTAAGGTCAGACACTGAAGGCCTGGCTCTTAGTCAACGTTCCAATTCATCCCAAAGGTGTTCAGTGGGGTTGAGGTCAGGACTCTGTGGAGGCCACTGGAGTTCCTTCACACCAGACTCATCAAACCATGCCTTTACGCAGCTCCTAATGCACAGTACTCATGCTAATGTTGCTTCTAGAGGCAGTTTGAAACTCTGTAATGAGTCATGCAACAGAGGACAGGTTTTACATGCTACACACTTCAGCACTTGGAGACCCTGCTTTGTGAATCTGCATAGTCTACTGCTTCGTAGTTGAGCTGTTGTTGCTCCTAGACGCCTCCCTTTCACAATGATAGCACTTATGGTTGACCAGGGCAGATCTAGCGGGTACACACATTCGACAAACTGATCTGGCATGTTTAAAGACACTGAGCTCTTCTGTACAACCCATTCTACTGCCATTTTTCTCTATGGATTGCATGACTATGTGATAACACCTGTTAGCAATGAGTGAGGCTGAAACACTTGAACTCAATCATGAGCGGTGTTCACATACTGTTGTTCATTTAGTGTGTTTTAGAGTACAATAAATAGGTCATCTGTCTGATACCACTAAAAAATAAACAACTATCTGCCCATACCAATATGATTCTGATATAACTGTGCATCTCAAAGGTAGACATGTGATTGTAAATGTCAACAACTGTAGAAAATAACTGTGATTGGGTCAGATAACTGTGACAAGGTGACTATAATAATTGTGATTGTGATATTTCTTAATGTTTCAATGAACTTGCATTTTGTGTGATGTTTTTTCAATAGGCATTGTATATCACACAGTGTACATCTGAAATACACATTACTGGAGTACAGTTAGAGACCATGGCCTATCCTTGGTGGTCAGTTTGTGACCACAAAGCCCCTCTAGGCTGGATTTTTTGGGGTGGTGAACCACTCTCAAGCTAGCAGCGACAACTCTGAGTAGGGGGGATCTGACAAATTGTGTATTACAGGCAAGACAGGTGTTTCTAATAAAGTGGACGCGGCAGGTTCAGCATGCTATTACATGCTATCTGTGAACATTAGCCATCATTTGGCTCAGCAGTCTCAGCAGTTTTTCGAATTGCCTCCAGGCTTGATGTCACTCCTGGGCTTCATGTGAATGCCAGTCAAATTAAACATGTGGCTGCACATCCCTTCCACAGACTGCTGTTCTAACCACCCTGCTACCACTTCCTTTCTTACCCAACGTCCCTGGGTTGTACTATTACTGAGCGTGATTAGTTTGTGTAACTTCAAGGTTGTAGGCACATATAGCTGCCTCAGACTGGACACTTTAAAAATGTGCTGTTATGAAACATGTTCACTGCTTTGTACTAAATAACAGAATGCTTTAATTATTTCCTCTTTACTGGGATGTGGAGGTGGGCGATATGACAAAAATATAATATCACGATACTTTAGGAAAGTTTTCAGAATATACGTGACAATATTTTGTGTTTTTGAAGCTTAAGAAATTGGAACAGAAAAAAAACAAGCTGAAGTGCCACATTTTAAAATGCCATCAAAAACAATGATTATAAATTTTCACACACATTTTCTAAGCCACTTATTAAGGATCCTCGTTGCCCGGCTGGGGAATCGAACCAATGCCTTTCTTGCTGTGAGGTGATAGCGCTACCCAGTGCGAAATATTAAATTATTTTCACATAAGAATAAATGAAGTTTATTTTCTAACACAAAGTATTCACAACGATTTACATTACTACTTCTAAAATGAACAAATGCAGTGCTTCATGTTTTCTCCACCTTCCTGTGATGAAGCATAATGAATACCCAATGAGTGATTTCAGTTTCCGAATGGTGAAACCTCAAAAGGTGCTTAAGTCCAAAGCTTGAAGTCAGCTCTTGATTCTCAAAAGTCCAGGCCTAGTGTGCAGACTCAGTGCATCCAACAATAAAGACAGCATGGAGCTACTTTTATACAGTGATAGAAAATGTGGTACCACACAGAGAGCGGCGATTCTACACACCGCTGTAAGGTAAGTTAGGCTTAATGAGAACAGACGAACCACCACGATGTACTCTGTTATGTCTGTGAAAACCAAAGCGTTAGAAGGCTCGGAGCGTTCCTTACCTGGAGTAGCAGGACATGCTGGTGCAGAAGATCGTGTTAGCGATGGCGATGGACACAAAATGCTGGTGGAGCCAACTGTTGACCCAACTTTCGGGCATCACGTAGGAACCGTATGTGATAGCACAACCTGGAGGAACATGGAGGATTGGAATCATTTTCTAAAACAATATGAGATACTAAAACATGTTAAATGCTAAACATAGTAAACAACTGTAAAACTTACATAAATCAGCAGATTATGTAGAATATGTCACTGGGCTAGTCTAAAGCAGAGATCTGAGAGGATTAGATCAAATCTGAGAGGTCTGGACTATTAACCTGGTATTTAGAGTTTTTTGTAAGCAGATTTTAAGGGATTTTGAGGCAGCAGAGAGGATTTTAGGTTTATCAAATTACTGCAAACTAAGGTCTTGTCCCAGTTACAACTCTAAACCCCAAGACACCACTTAAAGTCCACTTCCACTGTTTTTTTGCAAGAGTGCAAGTTCTTAAAGTGCATTGGCTCATTTATGTAACCCTACAGTTATGTCAGTTATGTAATAAAGAAAGCAGGGGCTGCAATCAGTAGGCAGTACTGTACAGCACAGCCAGCTCATTTGAATGGCAGCTTCTCGAGCTGTCAGCTATGGCTGAAAATGCATTTGCATGAAGTGCGGCATTTCATAAGGATAATTATCCTATCATGCAAATAGGTTTTCTTGTGAAAACAAGCATGATTCTTTTCATTTGAAGCGATAATTTGGTGAAAATGTTCCCCTTCTTCTCAAATCTAGTCGATCAGCTACGACATGTTTGGTGGTTGAAGTTTGCTTCTTTAGTTTTAAGTGCATGCCTGACTCATGACACACCTGAACAAAAACTGTTGAATTGTTAAAGGGGAACTGCACCTATTTTTCAATATTTTTGCATGGGTAAAGTTTTTGAGATGTAAAAACCTCATTCAGAGCAGTCTGATGTGAAATGGTTTACAGTGGTGGTGATGGGAACCAGGGGTCACAATGTCTACAACACTAATATAGCCATTTTATTTATTATCCAAAACCACCAGTGAACCTTCACGTCTTCTGGATTTTATATGCAATGTCGATGATGGTAAAATAGCAGTAAATCTTAAAATCTGAGCTTTCTCGGATGCCCTGCGTGTACCTCTCTACCATGCATGGATTTTTAAAAAATATGTCTTTGGCCAAAAGAATATCGCAGAACTATTGTAAAACAGTGTCTCAGGCATCAGGCAACACATTTGTAGCCATTTTATGGAATAACCTTCTGTGAGGGAGCTTTTAGGGGCATTCAACTCCAAACTGAGAGGAATCAGATGTCTGGTTCCTATCACCACCACTGTGAACTCTTAGTTTTTGGTTCTAAACTCTTAGAACTCTTAGAATTAAAAAAAAATCAGCAGAAAAATAATAACACTATTAGAAGGTTACCTTTGCAAGTACTTTATGACACATGCATAAGCCTTTGAGCATTTATGAACAGCTTATGTCAGTATTCACAAGATGACATAAGACCCTTTTTATTAAATAATTGACACTGTATTGATGTAAGAGGCCTTTAACTAAAGTGACAGAGATTTGTTACATTTATAAGACTGTTATGAAGAACTTATAAGGCCAAGGCCTAGTTAAGATCACCTAAGGTGATACAAGAAAACTTACAAGAAAATATATATAGAAATGTATTAATGTAGAAAATATTTAGTGATAATGATGAAGGCATAAGAATCTGCCACAGAGTTGAGACATGGTGCTCTTAACTAGGCTCCTGTCTTAATAGTCTCATGTGTTAAATTACATGGGAATGATGCCTTACGACAGTGTTACATATGGTACAAATGTCTGTCACTTTAGTTTAGGGCCCCTTTATATTCAAACTGGGCAATATGACAATATTTACTGTTATCATTATAAATTAAAAATGCTTTTCTGAGCGTATTGTGGATATCAACAGTACTTAAAAATCACTTCACAACAGCATGTTTGACTAAAAAGAGCATAATTAGTCCTGTTGAATTGGATTTTATTGCAGCACAGTGTGTGACATGTTGGGCATCAGTTCATAGTTTTTGATAGTATTTTTTGTGGCACTACTATGTTTGTTCTAACTTATCAGTCGTCAGACATCAAAACACCTGATGTCATCTTGCAAATAATGACATAAGCGGTTCATAAATACTCAAGTGTACCTTTTTAACCATATTATTAAGTGCTTATGCATGTGTAATGTTCTTATGGAGGTAGCTTTCAAATAAAATATCATAAAAATGGACAAACGTAGATTGCACAGTTGAGCCTGAATTTCATACGTTTTTTTTTCCAATGTGTTTCTTGATGTTGAAACAGAAAGTCTGAAACAGAAAGTCTGATTCCTGTTTGCTTTCGATACAGAATGCAAGTTAAATTAGTAAATCAACTTAAGATAAAATAAGAAAATATGAATACATAACTTGCTGTGCATTTATTTATGTATTTGCATAATCATGTTTTAAATAATTACGTAATGTAAACTGAAAGTACAACAAAATAACAATAATAACCTCAGACTTTAAGGGAAAAGTGAAAAGTTCTTTTAGCTGCTGCCAGACTGTACTGACTCTCACTTCTTAAGTGGCTGGAACAATGCTTGTATCATGTTTTGTTTTAAGTGCTGACTGTCCAGGCCTTCCTCTTTGGCCTTTTGCCTCTTGTTTACTTTCTTTTGAATCTCCAGAAAGCACAAAGGCTTCAGTGTGTTAAACCACTCCTTTTTACTGCTGCTCAGCCAGGTCAGAGAGAGTTCCGTGGACTCACGCTGTTTACTTCTGAGGTCAGTCTGTGTACATTTTTCTGAGCTTCCTACACGTTATGTAAAAACCTTTCCCCGCCCTTCACACCCAGTGACACTCAGGCTTTCAGTGCTGGAGGAAAATTCTGCACAAAACGTATAATTTAATAAGGGATTCCTCACTATGAGGTCAGTTTAGAAAAACTTAACACTTTACACCCTGAACAGTCCAGCTCCTAGTCCACCCATTCATTTGTAACTGTATGTTGGCTATACTATGACCTAATAACAATAGATTATATAGTTTGTCATGTACTGATTTACATGTACAATCATAGAAAAAACCCCTGGCCAAACTAGATGTTTTATTCATTTTCTAAGTGAAAATAAGTTAATACATCCTCTACAGAGAACACACTTAAACATGACTTTTTCTGGAAATTCAAATGCAAAATTTCATTTTTAACATGCTAGAAAAAAAAGGTGCCATAACTTTTGCACAGGCCACATTTTATAGTTCATTTTTTCTCCAATATGTTAAATTCAGTAAATAAATAGTAACAGTGCATTAAAATGTGCAGACGTGTACTGTCTGTAGAGGATATGTTCACTTATTTTTACTTGGAAAATAAATAAAACGTGGATTGGGGCACTTCTGCATATGACTGTATTTGTTATTTGGAACAATCAACATCTAAAAAACTTGATATAACAAATTAATATAACATTACAACTCGCTTTTGCTATTACTGGATAAACGGTTTAATAATCAAAACTAATCTAAACTAAACTTCTAATCAAACAGCTTTGCTGGTGCTTTTAGGGGACCTGACTGAGGCTATAGGTCACTTCTGTCCAATCACATTGCCTTTTGCTTTAAACATGAACATGCTCTACGCCTTTCCACCGTTAATGTTCTTTAGCTGGATCTGCTTATCCACTCCGCCGCTGAATGGCTACTTTATCTGCAAGCATGAACCCATAGTGAGCTCAGTGCTGAGACTAGGTTTTAAATTCAACATAATTGGCTCCTCAGTGAAGCCATGTTGCCATGCCAAGCAAAGCAAAACCCCTGTAAGACGAATCCTTCACAGAGTGTGGCATCCTGACTAGGGGGGACTATATATCAGATTTATAGAATTTTCCCCTTTGTCCCAATATGGTACAGCAGCCAAGACAGTTTGGTGTTTGCTTTTTTAACTTAGCTAATGGAGCTAACAGAGATGTGGGTGGGTGTTTTACATTTGGGGTGCTGAAATTTTAAGCAGTGTGATGTGACCGATGATGTGATTTGACATTTTTCATTTGATTCTCTTTTTTTTGGCTAATTTAAATAAAACTGAGTGGTTCATACAGTGCTATATTGAGGAGAGAGAGGACGGTATCTATGTCTAACTGACACACCAAAGCACTGACAGACATCAGCACTCTGCTCTCTAGTTTTGGACAAACTTTATGCAAATGAGCTGATCTACAAACCAATCAGATTGTTGTTATGTGGCGTGGTAACCGACTCTGTCAGGTCCACAAACACACATTGAGACACAGAGCAGGGGAATAATGACTGAAATTCATTATCACGTTAGATGACTTTTTAAAGTTTAAAAACAACATTAGGCCGCCTTTGGGTTCATAAAGTGGCCAGCTGTTTTCAGTTGACTGTAGTAATGAAAATACAGTGTTCACTTAAACAGTGCAGCTACTGCAGATTTTTAAAATATAAGCTCTGCTCTAAAACAAGCACACATGGCTCTATACTACACTCAAATGTATTATTAATATCATTACTTTTAACAGCTGCAATCCTGCAATCCAGCTGCATCCCTCTTCCCACATCCCTGGTAGCTAACAAGCCATTAAGCTTATAGAGTTGGTGGTGGGTGGACGAGGGAGTAAGTACAGGGGCTCGAGCCCTTGTCCCTTTTGTCCCAAACTTAATCATGCCCTTTTTGATGAATTTTAATTGCTTTATTTGCTGCTGCACAAAACTTGTGTAATTCAAAGGAAAATTCGGACTCACAGTTCTAGTTCAGAATTTAGATTTTCTTTGTTCCTTTGTTTTCATTTCTTTTGGCAAGCCAAGCGAAGCTTCACTTGGCATGGGTCCTTAATATATATGATTTCATTTACAACCCCATTTCCAAAAACGTTGGGACGCTGTGCAAAATATAAATAAAAACAAAATTCAATAATATGCAAATCATTTAAACCCTATATTTCATTGAAAATAGTACAAAGACAACATATCAAATGTTGAAACTGAGAAATGTTATTGTTTTGAATTTGATGCCAACAACACATTCCAAAAAAAGTTAGGACGGGGGCAACAAAAGGCTGTTAAAGTTGTGTAATGCTAAAAAAAACACCTGGTGGTTGATTGGCAACAGGTCAGTAAAATGATTGTTTATAAAAAGAGCATCTCAGAGAGGCTGAGTCTTTCAGAAGTAAAGATGAGGAGGGGTTCACCACTCTGTGAAAGACTGCACGATCAAATAGTGCAACAATAAGAATAACGTTTCTCAATGTAAAATAGCACTTTTGCTTTTCCTCATCTATGGTACATAATATCATTAAAAGATTCAGAGAATCTGGAGAAATCTCTGTATGTGAGGACCAAGGCCGAAAACCAGTATTTGCTGGCCGTGATCTTTGGGCCCTCAGGTGGCACTGCATTAAAAACAGACATGATTCTCTAGTGGAAATCACTGCATGGGCTCAGAAACACTCCTTAAAACCATTGTCTGTGAAAACAGTTCATCACTGCTTCCACAAATGCAAGTTATAACTCTAAAATGCAAAGAAGAAACCATATATAAACAGGATCCAATAGCGCTGCCACCTTCTCTGGGCCTGAACTCATTTGAAATGGACTGAAGTGAGGTGGAAAAGTGTCCTGTGGTCTGATGAATCAACATTTGAAATTCTTTTTGGAAATCATGGACACTGTGTCCTCTGGGCTAAAGATCACTCAGCTTGTTATTAGTACACAGTTCAAAAGCCAGTATTCATGATGGTATAGGGGTGCATTACATTGATGCACATGGTATGGGTGACGTGCACATCTGTGAAGGCACCATTAATGGTGAACAATATATATATGTTTTGGCAACATATGCTGCCATTCAGATGACGTCTTTTTCAGGGAAGGCCTTCATTATTTCAGCAAGACAATGTCAAACCACATTCTGCATGAATTACAACAGCCTGGCTCTGTATTAAAAGAGTCTGGGTGCTAAACTTTCCCACCTGCAGTCCAGACCTGTCACAACTGACAATATTTGGTGCTTTCAGAAATGAGAAATACGGCAAATGAGCCCCCAAACTGTTGAGCAGCTGAAATCCTATAACAAGTAAGAATGGGAAAACAGTTCACTTTCAAAACTACAGCAATTGGTCTCCAGAGTGCTGTAAAAGGAAGAGGTGATGAAACACAGTGGTAAACATGCCCCCGTCCCAACTTTTTTGGAACATGTTGTTGGCATCAAATTCAAAATGGGCAGATAGTTTTCAAAAAACAATAAAATTTCTCAATTTCAACATCCGATATGTTGTCTTTGTAGTATTTTCCTTTAAAAATGTGGTTTACTTGATTTGTACATCATTGCATTCTATTTTTATTTACATTTTGCACAGCATCCCAACTTTTTTGGAAATGGTTCAAGGTTAAAAGACAACAGTGACTGTAAAATGACCTCAGATTGGGTCATACCCAGGCTGTAAAGGCTGAGGGCTCCATAGTCGAAGAAGTAGCAGATATGGCGGGCCTCTGGGGACATGGTGCTGAAGGTGTGTGCACAGCTGGAGGTGAACGGGTACAGGCAGATCAGTAGCATGTAGACTAGCAGTGGCCACGTGTAGCTCTCGGTCAGGAAGTTCTCTGTTGAACACAGCACGCAGAAACGCCACAGGAAATACCTGCCAGAGCCGAGACAGAGGGAACAAAGCAGAGGCTCTCTTTCATCTCCTGTTCACCAGATCTGCCCAAGTTCAGCATGACTCAAATCAATCGCTTTGGTACTATTATTTAAAGGAATACAATGAATATACAGATGTGACTGGAGAAACTACACAGTAGTGCAAATTTATTTTTAAAAACAGCCTGAGTGTTTTATTTTGGGCAAAAAAATGAGCTCATGCTTGAATAAGTGAATATTACTATAAGGTAAAATCCACGAGAGGCTGTGCATTACAGTGATTTTACCAAGCGAAGTTGTTATGCACAATGTCAAGCTTTTCTAAACGAAGAAAAAAGACACTATGATAAAAAAGAGTGTAATTGTTCAAAAATAATTAAGTATGAATAATAATCACAACATTACATAATTAAACTTTCTTTTATTGACAGTACAATGTTTTTACTTACTTGGTGCATTGATATAGAACTTAATGGATGTATGCAGTAAGATACAGTACTGCAAGAGTCAGTCATTTATTAATTTCCAGTCAAAACAGCCATTAACTTATTAATTTTTGAGAAGGTAAAACTGGAGTTCAAAAAGTGTTTGAAAGCTACAGATAAAATTGGATTACTAACAGCAACCAGCATTAAAATTGATATAATTAGTTGTTAAGACTCCTGTGTTTTTATTTATTTTTTACTTTTATGCTTTTTTGATATATAAACATTTAAAATTCTAAATATAAAAAACATGAAAACATGCTGAACAATAATGGCCATTTTGACAACAAATTAAACAAATGAAAGGTGGTCTCAGACTTTTGTACAGTGCTATACGCGTATACAGAGCACAACCACTTTAAACATGGCTCATACTGTAAAACAGAAACTATTTGTTTTACAATAATTATAATTTATTCAAACATTCCAATATTTATGCATTTGAATCACCACATTCATGATGCATACATTTAATCAGATGCAGTGGGTTTATCAGGATATCAAACGATTCTCCTCCATTTGACCCACTTATTATTGGCACACATAATGAACCTAGTTTCCTGTTTCTGCCAAGTAATGTAGTAACAGCCTCAGCCAAACAGATATTACCTTATTAAGACTGTAAACCTTTACTGACCTCCGTCTATCATATAAGCCAGTGAGCACTGTAATACTATAAACTACACTATTACATAACTTGCTTCTCTCTAAAGCCTCTAAGCTGATTAGCCAAGTGCTAAGCCAAGAATGAAAAGCACATGCTGGACTGGATCTCTTACCAGGTTGGGAGGAAGTGGGTCCAGATATTGACAGTTTCATTGGTCATCTGAAAGCTGCTGAGGATGCAGTCCAGGGCGGAGCTTTGAGGGTGCCGGTAGCCAGATATGATGCTGTCTTCCCGAAATACCTGAAACATGTGTTCATACTGTAAATAATATGGCATTCTGTCAAATATGCCTGCAAATCATTTGATACACAATCGGATATAATCTTGGCACTGTACCAAATCCCTTAAAGAAGGTTGTTATTATGGTAATAATGAACAAATAATGTTGGCTTTCACTGCTTGGCTTGTTTTTTTAACCACTAAGTTCTATGAAGCCTAAGGGTTTAGCAGAGGTGGCTTAAATTCTACTCCATGCCAAATTTTTTAAAAATTTCTGCATAATCCAGTCATTCAGTTGTAAGGTATGGTGGCTTAAAGGGAAATTATGTCTATAATGTAAATACAGTCACTATTTTATACTATTTACTATCCAAAATGACCAGTGAACCTACACAAGTTTCATATGTAGTGTTGATTAAGGTAAAATACTGGTAAATCTAAAAAAAGATATGTTTTCTTTGGGTACTATTTTGCTTTACAACACCCTGCATGTACCTCTCCACCATGAATGTACTAAAAAATTATGCCACAAACTTATTCTAAAACTACCGTAAAACAATGTTTGAGGCACACACAGTGCATTTCATGTAATACCTTTCTGTGAAGGAGCTTTTAGAGGCATTAAGTTCTTCAGGTGTCTGGTTTCTATCACCAACACCGACTTGGTAAGTTTCTCTAGAACAGAGCATCATGTTTCCCAACAAACCACCCTGACTTTGGGTAACACTTAATTTGGAGTGGTCCTTTGTAGATGATTAATAAACTCTGATTATCAGTATCACCAACAGCATGTCAGTGAAGTAGCAGTAGTGAAGCATCTGAATACACTGAAGTAAATATCTGGTAGATGTTCTGTTGATACATTACTTACACCAAGTCGATGTTTTGTTAATATGATACTTCTATTACACAAAACTAACCTTACCAACCTTACCCTAAACCTAACCCTCATCCTGGCCCTAATCCTAACCCTAACCTCAACCCAAAACCCAGTCCTAACTCTCACCCTGGCCCTAATCCTAACCCTAACCTTAAACCCAAACCTAATCCTAACCCTCACCCTGGCCTTAATCCTAACTTTAACCTCAACCCAAAACCTAATCCTAACCTTAACCTCAACCCAAAACCCAATCCTAACCCCCATATGCTCTTGACATATGCTCCGGAGGGGGAGTGTTGAGTGTTTCATCTAAAAAGGACCACTCAGAATAAAGTGGCACCTAACTGTGTTTCCATCTTCATGACTGGATTATGCAGATTAAAAACTATGGTGATTTTCCCATTTAATGGAAAAGTCTGGTGAAAAATTGTATAGATATATACAGAGAAGTCATAGTGTGAGAAACCACTTAGGCATGTCTGTTAGAAATTATTTAAGTAGTTGAAATTAAGATCTAAAAAAAAAGAAAGAACACGAATCTTGGCTGATTGACTATATTTGGTATAAGGGGTGCATTGTGTACATTTGATAGGCGGGACACTAAAGCAGTTGTGTAGTGCAATTATTGCAGGACAATAATGACTGGAGCCCACCTTAGGCACCTGGTGGTTGTCAAACAGGCGGGGTAGTTTGATTCGCAGCATGTCTGCAGGCAGCCGGAGCACACCCCTCCCTCTCTGGCAGGCCTGCTTCAGTCGCTCCCTCCCTCCACTGCACAGCACGCACCAGACGGGGCAGTCAAAGCCCCACGGCTCAGCCTCCCCTTCGCCGGCCTCCCATCCTATATAGCGAGGCCAGCCCCAACCTGGGCCCACGCCAGACCCTCTCCACACAGGAAACACTGCACAGAGAGAAAGAGAGAGAGAGAGAGAGAGAGAGAGAGAGAGAGAGAGAGAGAGAGAGAGAGAGAGAGAGAGAGAGACAGAGAGAGACAGAGAGAGAGACAGAGAGAGAGAGAGAGACACAGAGAGAGAGACACAGAGAGAGAGATTTGTTCCTTGACCTATATGCAGTTCACACAAAAGCTGTGCTGCTGTATAGAAACGCCTGTAAGACTGTGTAAAGTAAGTCACTGCCCAGAACTACAACTACTGTACATAGTCTTAAAAAAGATGGTGCTTCAAGGGTTTTTAGTCAAGAAAATGGTTCTATATAAAACCATGAACACTCAAAGAGTGTTGTGATGGGAAATGAATGTGCTATAGACACAGTTTCTATATAGAATATTGTTGAATAGGGTTCTTTTATTGTTACAAGCTTGACACTAACAAAAGAAGAACCCTTTTGGGTGCTATATAGAACCATTATTTAAAAAGTACCACAATTATATTTGGGCTGATATTTTGATTATTGATAATTAGGGGCTGTTTTGTTATGTTTTGTTTTTTTGGTGAATGCAGAGGGATGACAGATCTCTAATATCTCTGCTAGATAGTAACTGTCTTCAAATCCTCCTTCAAAAATGTTAGCTAGCAAGCTGGCTAGACCCCTTTCCTCAGTTTGGCTTCTTGAAAGGGTAAAAACGTATCTCTGATATCTGTTTGTTCCAAATAAGGACAGAATCCGTGTTTTCTTTACACTTTTGTTCAGAGACTGAGGTAAGAGCTACACTAATGCTAGCTTGGTTGCATTTATTAGCCTGTAAATCAGAGGCTAAGCTAGCAGTCGGGACTGACACCACTGGGATTTCCAGTGGTTGCTGGGTATTGTAGTAAAAGAAGATTTATGAATGGAAACATGACAGCGATATAAAATTGTGAATTCTTTTGAACTGTTAAGGCTGAGGGATACAATGCTGTGCTAGAATACAGCGCAACATGATAAATAACATATTTAGTGCTCGTTTTATTCAGGAATGTCACAATTTTTCTGGAAAAAATGTATATCATAGGTCAAAAGTGTGAAAGCAGCACCATCTCTGTTAAAATCAACATCCAGAAATGAGGAACAGTGTCCAAAAGTATCCAGACATCCTTTTTTAATAAAAAATTTAGCTACTTTAAGATGCACCCATTACTGACAGAGTTGTTTCTAATAGAATGGGACAGTCTGGAGCAGCTGCACATAAGCCCAAAGTGACTATGCCCAATACCAAGTGTCTTCTAAAGGGGTATAAAGCCCCCCAGCATTGTGCTGTAGAGCAGTGGAACTGTTCTCTGGAGTGATGGAGCTCCATCCAATACCTTTGAGGTGATTTGATTCAGAACTGATCATTTAACATCAGTATCTGACCTCATTTATGCTCTTGTGGCTCCAATCAAATCCTCACAGCAATGTTCCAACAACTATTGTAAAGCCTTCCCCGAAGGGAAGAGGCTGTTAGTGCAGCAAAAGGGGACAAACTCTCTATTAATACCCTTCATTAAATGTTGGAGGTGTCTACAAACTTTTGGCCATATAACATGTTACATGCAAAATGTGTTTAAGAAATTACTTTTTAATGTATACAAAAAGTCTGAAAATTTTTTGTTTAACATGTTAAAGTGTTTGGAAAGCATTTTGAAAACAAACATATATAAAATATATTTCACAAAAAAAAATACCCATACATGCCACAAAACAGTGGAGCCCTTTAAAAGGCTACAAGTGCAACTTTTTTAAAATTTCATGTCTGCAAAAATAACTATTAAACTATTTACAGTGGAATTCCACTTTATTTTTCAAACTTTCTGCATAATTAGAACCTTTTTTTATGTAAACAATGTCTTTCAGAGATGTCTGATATGAAATGATCTGGTCTAGAGAAACTTACCAAGTCAGAACTGTTCACAGTGGTGGTGATAGGAACCAGACGTCCAAAAAGTTTAACACTTCTAAAAGCTCCCTCACAGGAAGTTCTTACATGATATCATTATAAATACCCTGCCAGATGCCTGAGATATTGTTGTATGACATTTTTGAGATTTGAAGTTTATTTTTTTATTTTATCTATATATGCGTTGACCACTGGTTCCTTTCGCAACCATTGTAAAGAAAAAGCTTAATGACTGAACTACACAAAATTTTAAAAAGTCGGTGGAATTCCTCAAGATGGGAATAGGAGGTGAAATCATATATTATCATACATATTTGATAAAATAAAAAAAATATATATTATGACCTCCTAATATGCAGCAGATCTACTTTGCGATTCTTACTCATGAGCCTTTGTTTGCTGGACACATTAGAATAAAGCAGCAGTCTGATGTGTCCAGACACGGATTCAGAGCTGGACAGAGGTTAGCATTGTTGGTAGGCCTGAAACAATACACGCACACCAAAACAACATTCTGTGCCTGCCATGCAGTTCCAGATACACAAGAATTGTTTTGTATGCAGGGTGAGGTTTTATTTCAACAAACCCAACATTCATTTACTATAAGCACTAGGGTCAAGTATTAACCACTTCATGGAACTGCTCAATGAGCAGCAGTCCATGATAGACATTAGCGGGCTGAGGACTGTTTAACTATTGTATTCTCTTTCCTGTTAACATCTATTTTAGGCCTTCCATATTTATACCCAAACCATCCTCATACGTGTTTCAGAGCCTGGATCATATGTCAGCAGTCAAAAGTTTGGACACACATGGGCATAAACTGAATGTAATGATGCAAAAGCTTGAACCTCCATGGTCAAATTACGTGTTATGTTGATTTTCTAAGAGAAATTCGGTGAACACCTCCTCTACAGAGAACACAATTTTTCTGCAAATGTTAGTGCAACATGAAATGTGCGATTACTTTTGCACAGGCCAAAGTTTGTCGCCTCATCCCTCACACCCATGACCTCTATAGAATGAGATGCTGAGGAAACGTTTGCAACACAGAACCCATCAGACATGCAAAGACATGCAGGAGGAAAAACAGGTCCAACCAAACCTTCAGTTCCCAAGTCCTAACAGACTTCTGTCTGCTCAAAGGAGTGGCGTGCTTTAATGTTTGCTTTAGTGGCTGCTTCTTTAGTTTTGCGCTGGAGCTACAAAGCTAACTTTCAATGGAAGCTTAAAATCATTATTTACCATAGTTTTTCACAATAACTATCAATCCACTGTGCACCTGTTGCTAAGTTACAGCCAGTGGGAACAAAATGTATAATTTTGTATAATAATAAAAATGCAAAGCAGTAGACAATGCAAAAGACATCAGAGAGGCCTCCATATGTCTTTAAAAACCTCAGGAATCTGGCCTAAGCCACAATTTACATTCTTACACAGACAAAAAGGGCATGGAATGCATCCCATAACAAGTCGTCACACCATCTTTAAATCTACAAGCAAAGAATAGACTGGCAGTCAAAACAACCACTGAAGAAAGATTTTTCTGAGGAGATCAGATATAATATACTCCACTTACATAAGAAAGAAGAAAGTCAAAGGAAAATAAGCAAGAAACAGGCATTTCCAAAACTGAGGTTTCAAAAATGATTAAAAGATACAGAAAAATGGTACTCCTAACAACCACCTGGAAGACCTGGTAGGCCACCAGAACTGTCCCTATCAGATAAAACACTTTCATCTCTGAGAGAGAGGAGAAAATGAAGCTGCTTCAGATCTGAAAACATCCACAGGTGCTTCTGTCCGTCCTTCCACACTGTGAGAAGACAAATGTTATGATGCGTGGCTGTCAAGAAGCCTTTACTGAGAAAGCGGGGGGGGGTTGTTCGCTAATCAAACAAAGAAGCTGCTGATGTTCTCAGAACAATGGACTGACCACCCCAGAGTCCAGACCTCAACATCACTAAATGTGTTTGGGATTATTTGGATTGTAAGAAGCAGAAAGTGCAACCAACTTTGAAGATTTCTTTGAAAAACTGAAAGCGAGTCTCCTAAAAAGCATGGAAGCTGCAATAAATGCAAAAGGTGGACACATTAAATACTGAAAACATCAAGAATGAATGAATAACTTTGACTGAAAATTAAATAGATGAGCGGGAGGTCTCTGACTTTTTTGGAGTACTGTACATACACAAAGAGCTAACGTGACACAGCCAGCGGGTCAATGTACGTCATATTTTCAACAGGTCAGAGGGAGGACAGTTACAAATGAAGCAATATGAAAATGAGGATGGTGACCGTGACAGAGGTGAACATTCACAAACAAAGCAGATGGAAATGTTCTTTAATCTGTGTTCACAGAAACATGAGAGGTTCTGGATACAGCTTTCATTTGGCTGGTTGAATCAATGTGACATTCATTGCAGTGAACGAGGAGCATGATGGAGAAAAATGAAGTCTCCTCATGTAAGAGCTTTGTGGTCAAGGAGAGAGCCAGGAGGCCAAGATGAATAATGATGTTCTTTACTGTGTGCCAAGGACACAGGTTTGGCCTCAACATTGGTAGGGACCCACCAACCAACCCCCTGCAATGCATACAAACTAATACATTAATGATGACATTTTCTTCTGACAGCTAGCCTACAGATGACAGAAGCCAAGGTTAATGCTAGCTAACATGGTTAACTAACATGTCTAACATGCCTTCTCTTTTTTGGTGGCTTGATATCTACAAAGTATACGAAACTTGTTGACATGGACAAAATGACATTATGTGTCCTGTGCAGTTGAGGCACCAGAAGAAAAGGGAGGAAGTCATCTGAAAGACTAAATTTTCACCAATGCTTTTGGTACAGACTGATAACTGTTGTCAGCACACTAATCGGCTCTCACCTCTCCTGTGTCTGGCAGTATGAACGATATTTTCAAGTCGTGATGTGAGCCTTCAGATAGCCCGCTCCCTTTCAGACAATCAAATGCTAGCATGTCTAATTTGGTCATCTTGGTGATGTAGCCTCTGGGAGGCACATCAGAATTACCCAATATGACTTCACACCAAAGATAATACCAACAGGGTTGGCTCCAAA